TTACTTTCGTTTTCCCCAAGCCTTCCCTCCATTCCCCTTCAACACAGTTCAAGGCAGTCTGTCACCGCATAGCAGCGAAGCACAAGCAAGCATAAGGTGGCAGTTGACAATTCTATCAGTATTCAAACCATAAGCAGACAAGCCACATTGAAATACCTGAAATAGGGCTTGCTTAATGTTGACTTTAGCTCTTTCTGTTACACTGGAAGAGACATGGGCCTTGTCCTTCCATTCAGGGTGTGATCGATGAACTTTGCATCTGAGAATGAGTCTCACTCTTGGAGTTTTATCTAAGGTTCCTGCTACTAGTTGAGTTCCTGGTAGGTCCAAAACAGGAGCTGTGGAGATGTATTGACTTACTAATAGGCCATTCCAATCTCAGCAGAACTGTGAGCAGCTGGTACTCTTCAATGCAAAAAATAAAATAAAATAGCTTGTAGGATATCCATTGGGAATAAGGGGTTTCACCCTCACTGTAATCCAGAGGTGGGTTCCTACCTATTTGGTCTGGTTTGGCCGAATAGATAGTAACTCCGGCGGACACGTGACCACACCGGTTCTATGATTGCTGGCGCCATCTTGATTTTCTGTTCTGCACATGCACAGAACGATCTTCATTAAAAAAACATAATTTTTATTTGTTTTTTAATGTGCAATTATTTTTTACTACCAAAGCGGTAGTAATGGCGGCCAGACCCCACCCCTGCTGTAATCCCCTAGGACAGAGGTCGGCAAACTTAAACACTCAAAGAGCCATTTGGACCCGTTTCCCACAGAAAAGAAAACACCGGGAGCCACAAAGGTCCTAACAGGAAGCCCCCTGTTCAATTCTGGAGCTGACCGGAAGTTGATTTTCCCCCACCATAGAGTCTCCTCCTAGCGCGGCATACTTTTTCCTCTTCCTGTCATAACCGAAATATCGATTGTGGAGACAACTGGGAAACCCTCCCCTTGCCATAGAGTCTTCTCCTGGCGCACTGCTTCTCCCCCAACACCACTAGAAGCTCCTCTCAAAATTGTGGCGCCAACCTGTGACAGAGCTGCAGTAGAGGGAGAAAGAGCCACATGTGTCTCCAGGGCCGCAGTTTGCTGACCCCTGCCCTAGGAGAATGCAGCCAACAGTTTCAAAATCCAGAAACTGGTGGGGTTTTTTTTCTTCTAATTTTCTTATTGGTTCTCCTACCAGACAAGCCATTTTGTTCAATATTCAGTTCCTAAGAGTAACAGTCTAATTAACCCTGTTGCTCCCACAGTTACTACAGGAGCTACACTATATTGCCAAAAGTATTCGCTCACAACTGAATCTGATTAACATGGGCCAGTCCTGGACTCTGAGGAAAGCTCTGATGAGGGCTCTGTGTCAGAGGCCAGGGCCATCCGACAGTTATCAGCTGCCTTCTGAGTCAGAGATCAGTGGGGCAGAAGAACAGCTGGAGCCTGTTCCCAACGTCCGCATGTGCAGAGCTGCCAGGAGAAGGGAAATGCTAAGGAACAAGGGCTGACTCTGGAGTAAAGTCACAGGTGGATGGTGAATGGCCCCTCCCATAGGGAATAAAGAGGAGCAAAAGGGGAGTGGAGTTTGCAGGAGACAATTTGTAAATTTAATTAGTGTGAAGATTTGTTCGTGACTCTCAGAGACTCCTTGCCAACTACTTATACAGCAGTTGCGTTTGGAAGATATCAGCCTGGCAGCTCTTCAATAAGGTCTGTGGTTGTAAATTCACCCTTAAAAGACCGTTTGCTGGGACTTTGCTGGATGTCCAGCAAAGAGCCGAGGTGGCGCAGTGGGTAGAGTGCAGTACTGCAGGCTACTTCAGCTGACTGTTATCTGCAGTTCGGC